CTATGCTTTCAATCTCAAATACCTTCTTCATTGTGATTTGCTAGCAAGAGCATACCTTGCACTGAGTCATAAGTACCAGGCAAGAGATGATAAAAGAAAGTTAGGAATGTAGCTAGGGCCAGATTATACTTTATACTGTATGTTGTACTATGGAGCTTATGCTTTATACCTTAGGTAAAGGGGAGCCCCTAAAAGATTTTAAGGAGACTGGGGATTACAAGGCAAATTTTTAAATGATTTAACTGCTGTGACTGGGAAGAGTGAATTTGAGGAGAACACTGGAGGGAAATAGAGAGGTAGGTAGAAAATGTATTGCAATTATCCAGACACATGATGGACAGAGTCTGAACTGGAACCATGTTATAGATAATAAAAAGCAACACATTATAAAAATATTCAAGAGATAAAATTTTCAGGTGTGTATTACAGAGATGATCAAATAAAAGATGATCCCAAAAGATGTTTCTTCTTTGTCTGGTAGAGTAATAGTATCATAAATTGTATAGCAAAAAAGAAAGACCAAAAGCTTTAAAGAAAACTGATGAGAAATGGAATTTAGATATGTTTTATTTGTACTGAGTGTGAGAAATCCAGATAAAAATGTGAGAACACAAGTATATATTTGCATCTGAGTTCAGAGATAACTATTTAGAGGTGAAATATGGGGTGATATGGACATTTAAATGATATTTAATATAAAATCACTCATAAGAAACAAGCCATATTTTCCACAAATATGATTACTATGTAATTGATTCATGCAGTATCCAGATCAAAAATGAAAAGCAAAGAAATGACCGGAGATCCTTCCTAGTCATTAGTCCACATAGGGTTATGGACCGTATTCATTCATTTGTGTATTTATTATGAATGTATTATTCATTCATTTGTGTATTTAATCTGACAAAAATAACTTGAATTGGATTGGCAATAATTTCCTATTCCTTTAAAAATTTTTATTACACTAGTACTGAATGCTTTGATGATAACAATTACAAATTCCATTCAACCATTATTTGAGAAGTCAGTGTAAACTGGGGAAGGAAGAAACAATTTCTAGCACACACACACACACACACACACACACATAAATACATCATAAGTATGAAAACATGAAAGTACTGCAAAGGTGCAAGCAATGTGAATCATCGTTCACCATATTACTAGATAGCAAAATAAGAATTTGTTTCCTTAATGTAATTACCAAATTTTTATCAATTCTATCTTTTTTATTCTAGTATTTATCATTCTTCCAAAGAAACAAATAAGTGTGAATTTGAAAGGGTAATACAGATAAAGTGGGTTCAAGAGGACTTACACTATTTCTATAGATATGGAAAGTGCTGGATTTTACAAGTATATATCTGTACCTTAGGCAGAGGCAAATTTAAAATTCTTCTCTGTCGACAGACACAGGTGCCTGACAGTTTATTACCAACTCTTTAGAAACAATCAAAGTAATATGAGAAAAATAAAACTACTGAGGTGAAAAAAATAGATGAGAATTATATGGAGCTGCCAACCAGCTTTAAATTTTCAGCTTAGCAAACAAGTTGATTATTGACTAAGGTTAGCAGAAATGAAAAACATATTTGAAGACTCAAGTCAGGAAGATAAATATGATATTCCCCTCTGGAAGGCATGCAGGTTGTTATGGAGCAAGAGAGTCAATCTTTAGAAAAAAAAAAAATGGGTTTATTCAGAAGTACATAATCCAACTGCAGAGACTTACAGAGAATGAAACAGAATTGAGGAAACTCTGGAAAATCTCCCTGCAATTGTTTTGCAGATCACTAATTGGAATCTCATAATGGGAAAGTCTAATTTTTAAATACATTAGTAAATTAACAACAATAAAAGAAGCAAACACAATTTACAACAATACTATTCTGGTAGATAGGTTTTAAGGGACATCTATGACCCCTACCTACTTGCAATCACAACTTGTGTAACCCCTCCCCTAGTGTTGAGCAATACCTCTGACTCATTTATTACCAAAGGGATGTAAAAAGGTAAGGGCATATACATGATTAAGCATGTGATTACACAAGGGTGTGTCCCCTGTCTTGCCAGAGTCATAGACTTTAAGAAACAAGATTCTAAAAGTATTATACATGCAAGGAAATGAAATCTGTTAACAAGTTGAGAGAACTTGGAAGCAAATTCGGCTCCCCTTGAATCTCCAAATGAGAACCCAGCCCTGGTCAACACCTTTATTACAGCCTTGCAGAGGAGTCCACCAAGTAATGCCTAGCCTTCTGAATATGAAATGATAAAATAACAAGCATGTGTTGTTTCAAGCTGCTAAGTTTGTAGCAATTTGGTTATTTAGCCACAGAAAACTAATACTCCTATTTATATTAAATTTTTCATTCATTTGTGTATTTAATCCATAAGTACTCAGGAATTATGCTAGGTGCTGGGTGCAGGGCTAACCAATATTTATAGCCTAAGAGATCAGACACTCACTATACTGCACAACAATTAAGAGGATATTTGGGGGGGCCTCCCCGGTGGCACAGCGGTTGAGCGCTGGGTTGCGAAGCTGCCAACAGCCTCTGCAGTGCCGGTTCGATCCCCAGCTGCTCTCTGTCCCACATGGCGCGCAGACCTCTCCTGCGGCCCGCTGCTCCCCTCAGCAGTGTACTTCGGTCCTTCTGCCTGTTCTGCTCCCTGTTCTGGCTCTGGTGAATTCTCTCACCCTCCTGTGCTTCTGACTGTACCCAGTGCTTGCATAAATAAATAAATAAATAAATAAATAAATAAATAAATAAATAAATAAATAAATAAATCTTTAAAAAAATGGAATAATGTATGAACAGCACCTTTTTTTTTTAAAAAAAGGGGGATATTTGGGATCCAGTCAATGCTACAAAGACTTTCTTGACAATATGATATCTAATATAAAAATTGAAATATGAATAAATTTTCTAGATAATATTAGAAGGAAACAACTCCTGCAATGCTTAAAGTAAAACTGAAAATAGATGAGGCTTGTAGTTTAGCCAAAGCATATTCAGAGGACATTAGAGGTAGCAAAACATATGGGTGAAACAGAAAGTAGTGCAGTTTGTTCAGTTATACAGTTTGTTCCTGTTAGTGATTTCACAGAGTTTGGACTGTACCCTAATAAACATCTGCTTTCTTCTAGATGTATATGTCATATGATATTTTGTTTTGACTTACTAGTGTTTGATTCATGAAAACATAGCATTTCTTTTTTAATCATCCTGAACTCCGTTCATTCCTTTTCCAACTTTCTAATATGAAGTAAATACTATGGTATGTTGTTGGAGTGAATGACACAGTTAGCTTTGCAGATATTGCCTCTGGTATGGAGGTTGTTCTAACAAGTTTCTTTATATATTAACAACTCGAGAGGATTTCAGTCCCACAGAACAATGTTTCTCAAACACCAGAAATGTATAAGAAATACCAGGGGGTCTTTACAAAGTGTAAATTCTGATTCACTTAGTTTGGGAAAGACCTGAGATTTTTAATTTCTAACAGGCATCAGGTGCTAATGATGCTGACTGCCCCAAGAGTTCACTTGGAATTGCATAAAAGTAAAACATAATGTGACCAATGTCGTTTGGGATGGAATGGATGGCTCACTATTTGAGCAGATGGAACATCATGAAGTTGATAAATTTCAGATGTGATACAGCAATGTGGTATGACTTAATAAACTGTGGTGAGGACATTTTAAAATATAAACACATGATTTTAAATCCTTTTGAATAAAAATATATGTAGTACCTCCAATTCCAATTCCTTAGATTATACACTGTGCTTAAAAATGAGTTATGTGTTCTGTGAACACACAGTATGACAATTCAGTACTGGACTACTACCAGCTCTGTATGATTGGAAAATTGAGTGGTGATTTAGTTTGTGAATATAAAGAAAGGAAAGATTATCTGTTCTGAAAAAAGGAAGTGTATACTTCTAGTATCCCTTCCCATATAAACTGAGGACCTGTGTCCTTCTGCTAATGGCCCCTGCCAACTCCTGTCCCTGGTGACCTGGGCTCTCAGCTCTAGTTCTGACAAATACCACACAACCACATTCCCAATATCACTCTCCAATTCAGTTTTTCATTATTTTATGGGCTTATTCTCAATCAGGCTACTCTGATAAATGAAACCAAAGTGAAAGTCCCTCTCAACAAATCATTGTGTTACTTCTGTCCACAGCTTGGTTTCCCCAGAGGGAAGATTCTGAGATGGAAATTTGTATGCAGGAAATTTTGGAGGAAGTGGTAATGAAATTAACAGCTGTTGGGATGTGAAGGAAATGAGACAAGGCCAAGGAGGAAGTTAGACTGGGATGCGGTCACAACAAAGCATCAGTGATGCCTTGAGAAGCTCTGAAGCTGTGCTGGTCCTGAACAGTTTTCTCCAATCAACACAGTGGTGCCAATTTGTGAGAGTCCCATGTAAACAGCACTATATTTAGACCATCTTTGAAAAGTGGCGTGTTACTACATGAGACAGTTCTTGTCTCAGGCAAGAGCAAACCTCAGGAGAGAATACTCAGCTCTCAGCCATTAGTTGTCATCACTCTCAGCAGCTTGTGGTATAAGTCCTTTAATCCTGAAGGACCACTATAAACTCTTCCATAATTAATTTATATTTTAAGTACTATAAATGTTTAAACATAAGAGTGCAACAAAACAAATAATGTAGACATTTCGTATTCTACTGGAGAAGTAGTTTGAGATATGAAAGCCTTTCATAACATCTAGGTAGTTGATTTCAAACCTATTTTGGTGAGGAAACAGATTTTTTTATTTTTTTCTTTCGAATTTTTTATGAACTGATAAATGGTTTCATCACACATGATCAGTACATAACTTGCAAAGGAGAGTTAAACAAATCTGGACATATTATACATTATTCACTGATGAGGTATGTTCACTGATCATGTACTTAAATATTGCAGCAATATCAAATGACTACAAATATTCATAAAAGCTTACTCATGACTTCTATGCTTACCGCATTGAAGACGGTAACCAGTTCGCTGATAAGTACTGGTTTTGTCTGCTGTTCAGATGCACTGTTGTTTGATTACAAATCCTGGTTCAAGTAGCTATTTGGTTCCTGTCTTTAAAAAAAAAAATTAAAAACAATCAAAAACTAAACAATGATGACGACAATGATAAAACTACAGTAATACCACTATGAATGCTGTTCTGCATAGGATACATGTATTTTTTTCATTTCTTATCTTAGTTTTAAGGCTCAAGTGAGTTTAAGTTAGTTTTAAGCTCAAGTGAGTTTAAGTTCCCTACTTTATATTTATGTGTTTTCTAAGTTATTTTAACCACAGTCTCTATAAAGAAAGGACACTTGTGAGTCATGTCCACTGTTTCATTCAGGTAATATTTCTTTAGCTGCTTTATAAAATTTATATCCCCCTTCATATTTATGGAATATTTTTTGACCAACACTGTGCTGTTTCTGAATCAAACACCATCACAATAGGTCAGTTTTCAAAGCTTACTCCTGCTAAATTTGAGTCAGTCTCCTCTGAGAGACAGAGCGACATTCTAAAGTTTAAGCCGCAGCAAGTTCAAAAGAGATGGAAAAAAAAATCGCTAGACAGGACTCTCATATGTGTAGTGTAGCTCCTATTAGGTCTTTTGAACATGAGAACTGTTTTGACAATCCACTTGAACTTCAGCTGAGTGGCAATATTGTTCTTATTTGCTGGAAAGCAGTTGCCTATCGCAGGCTGAATGTCTTATATATATAGTGCAGCTTTTATATTTGCCACTGATTCCCAAAATAACGTGTCTTTTAAAAACATTAATTCAAAAGAACACCTGTATCCCTATGTTTATTGTAGCACAAGTTCTTCATTTGCCTCCAAACCACAAAGAAAAAGAATATGCACAACAAGGAAATGACTAGACATTCTGTTTCTGCAATGAACTCAGACCACTACATCAAAACAGAGCCTCAAAAACAACTAAACAATCTTGGAAATACAAAACCTCTGGGTAAGGAAATAAGATTAGTAGGAATTCCCACCACATCAGAATTCTGCTCTAGACCATAGGGAGTGGCCTCTTATGGAAAGGATTTAAGAATTTATGGAAATCCGTAAAACCAAATAGGGATTCCTATTAATGATGAATACCCTAATCATCTAAGTTTCTGTTAATGAGAAATCAATACAGTTTCAATTACAGTTATTCTTTCTAGTATGATAGACAAGTATGTGTGAATACATGTACATACAATCATATGTAAGTGTGCTTTTATATACCTATATACTTGGTTTATTAGGAAGATTAGATGAGTTCAATTTAAAACTTCAAACATACTTCTCCAAAGAGAAAAAGGCAAATGGCTAACAAACATGAAAAAAATATTCAACATCCCTCATAATCAGGGAAATGCAAATCAAAACCACAATGAGATACCACCATACACTAGTAAGAATGGCATATATTTAAAAAAAACTAGCAACAACAAATGTTGCGGAGAATGTGGTGGGAAAAGGAACTCTCCTACACTGCTGGTGGGAATGCAAACTGGTCCAACAACTATGGAAAGCTTTCTGGAAGTTCCTCAGTCTACTAAAAATGGAACTACCATATGATCCAGCAATTCCACTCCTAGGGATCTACCCAAAGGGCACAAAAACATTAATGCAAAAAAACTTCTGTACCCCTATGTTTATTGCAGCACTATTTATAATAGGTAAAAGCTGAAAACAACCCAAATGTCTAAAAATAGATGACTGGATCAAGAAGATGTGGTGCATACACACAGTAGAATACTATTCAGTAATCAGAAAAAGACAAATTAATGCCATTCGCAGCAACATGGATGGAGCTAGAAGGGGTTATGCACACTGAAATAAGTCAGAGGAAAAAGAAAAATATGGGATGGTTTCACTTACAGGAAAAATATAGGGGAACCAAATAAGGGATCAGGGAAAAAATAATAACAATAAAAAATACCACAAAACAAAAATAAACAGAGAACTATAAATCAGAGACACTGCAGGGGATGGGGGGAGAGAGGTATCAAAACAAGGGCGGGAAGAGCACAAGGGACTATGGTAATGGTGCATGGGTGAATTGGTGGTGGAAATTCTATGGGGACTACACCTGAGAAAAGAAAGCAAACACTGTAAAAAAAAAAAAAATGAACAATGATGTAAAATATATATAAATAAATAAATCTAAAAAAAAGATCTTTGAAGAGTAATTGCCACACGGAAAAAAACGCACGATGATGGTAATTTGATATATAATTTCTTAATTTATAGCATCCCGTTTTTTTAGGTATAAATTCTACTACATAAAGATGTTTAAGAAGCCAAGATAACTAGTTCATTTTATGAGAACTCCCTCATACATCATTAAAATAAGAATCCCCCCATACGGAGGGAATGGGAAAGAAAAGGAAATCTCTTTAAACTTACTTGGCAGCTTCATATGTACCAATGCTATTTGCTATAAGCTTCGGCACCATCTAGGTAGTTAAAAAAAATTTGAATTTTGTTTAAATTCCACATTTACAGTCATAGGCTTTCTAAGGCAAAACATCATTAAGCTGCAGACTGTGATCTCACTATAACTTTTAAGTGTGCTGAAAAATATTTAACAAATCATTGTTTCATGAATATGAACTTGATTAAAAGAACATTCACTTACATCTCAAGAATATATAACCATCCGATGGAAATAACTGATACAGTTTGGCTCATTCTAAATATAGACCAAGGTTTAGGGGGAAAAAAAAAGGCTTTATTAGTTAGGCACTTGAAGGATAGAAGAGAGTATATTATAACCTTTCTTGACCTCTTTCCTTCATTCTTTTCTGTTTGGTGTCCTTTTCTTCTGTCCTACATCTAAGTAATTCTCAATAAATCCACCCCTAAGAACTCAATTTCAGGGTTTAGAGAAATGTGTACAGTTTCATTCTACAGTGATCAAAAATGGCAAGGTAGAGCTTCCCTTTCAATCCACTTGACCTAATTTTCTTTCAGGTTTATAAGGGTCAAAGTATTTCCAGAGCCACACACTAATGCTGAAATTCTGGGACTAATATGCATGCCCAGCACCATCTGAAGAAATAGGGATCTTAATATGTTTCCCTTTGGAGCACTAGAGCTACCGAAACTAAACTTATAGAGAAACTTCAGGTTTAAGAGTGCATCAGACAGACAGGAGCACCATCCACAGGAAGGTGATTGAGGTTGTATCAGTGGGCTGAATTCTTTAATAGAGAAATACGATTATAAGACAAGGAATAAAAATCAAATTACTTCTATATTTACTTCAGAGATTGCATCTGACACTCCTATTCATCTTTAGAAATATGCAATTGAAATGCAGTAAAAGATAGCTGTGATTTTCAGACTGAAAACCATCTGTAGAAATAGATTCATCTGGCTATGCTGTTACATGTGCCAACAGGGGCTTTAATGGCTGAATGGATTCACTGATTTAATTATAATTTGCTTCCTTGATCATTCAATCAATGGAAGTTCATTAATCTCTAGGTTAGCTAACAATGTTCAAAGTACTCTGATAAATATGAAAGCTAAGAAAATAGACTTATGTTATTTTTCATTGCTGGATGCTAAAACACATGGTATATCTGTAAAGTGCAAAAGTTGAAGATCAAGAAGAAGGATTAAGGACTTAATGATAAATTCATTGAGGAATTAGTATTTTAGATTTTATTAAACAAAGGTAAAGGGAAGAAAGAGGTATGAAAATATTGAACAAGTTATATGACTTACCCAGAGTGAAACAGTTAGTGTTCAAACTAAAATCTAAACCTTTCTTCTCATCCTAAAATCTATGTTCTATCCAATATTTTATGAGTTTGGGAGTTATGGTTCCTCTAGTTGAGAAATACAACAAACTGAGTTAACTGAAGTCGGACATATTATACTATCCATTTTAGATCTTTAAGAAACTCATAAATACAAACTATTCTTAAAATAAGACCAATTAAAGCAATATACAAAGTCCATAAAGCATGGATGTACTAATTTAAAATTATTTATGCAAATGCAAACACACAATTGTGTGTACATAAACATATGTCAGCAAAAATACAAAAAAAAATCACAATACTCTCTTAATATCCATTATCTTTGGGAAGAGAAAGTAGTCATTACAGGGATAGAAAAACAAAGCCTCAGTCTTATACTCTTCTGCCCTATCTGAGTTTGTTGACATGCCTGCATACTGCTTTCATAATTAAAAATCTATTTTAAAATTAGATATTAACATTTACACAATAACAAAAAGGCACAAACATATGCAGATTTTAAAAGTCATGTGGCATAATGTTTTAAAGTGTTAGTAGAAATCATTTTAAGTTAATTTGCTGTGCAACTTAGGATTCAGTGGTGAGATTCCTGAGTCATGAGCTTTACAATTTGGTTTAATTCCTCCTCCTCTAAGAACATCTGCCATATGGCTGTGACTGATGGCAATGTGACTTCTAGATTTCAACAGAAAGGAATGATTTCCATTTACTTTCGTTTATGATTATGAGTTCATGGAGAGTTGCAAAGTACAGAATGAAGAGGAAATATTCTATTTGACAGGAGTTAGTAGTAATAGGCTGTCATCCTTTAAAAGGAATCCAGTAAATATTTCTTTAAAGCAGTTTCTCTAATAACTTCACAGTGGTGTAAAGCAACATGATGCCTCAACTTATTGCTAGCCTTCAACTGGATGACAATAGTTCTGACAGTTAAAGATAGGCTTTCCCCTCTTGCCCAGAGAATTAAAGAAATTGTTCATTGATTTCCTCTATTCTATTCTACAGAAGGCTTTAACTCCCTGACTATTCTGCTCATATATCATCTATAGACCATTCAATGTGTGAAGCTATTTAGATGAATTTTCAGTTTATAAATATCACTGTGGTTTCAAATATCCTTTCAATCTTCTCCCTCTGCTATAACATTGGGCAATATGAAAATTTTCTTTTGAGGTTACAGCAAGTGATAAATTTATGAAAGTGATTAGTGCCCAGAAATGGGAAATATTTTACTAAAGTCAAATTCAAGGAACATGATTAACTATGAAAAAAATATGCAATTTGATCTGAACACTACAAATTATTTGTAATAAATTCCAGTTGTACTTATATAAGAGAAAAAAAAATTTCATCTGCGAGGATGACTCATTTTCCATACAAAAAAATTAGATACAAGGAACTGGAGTTAAAAAAATAATAGGGCCTCCCCTGATGGCGCAGGCAGTTGAGTGTCATGCTGTGAAGCTGTCCACAGTTTCTACAGCACGGGTTCAATCCCAGCCAGCCGGCAAGGGTCCCACATAGCGCAGTAGACCTCTCCTGTCGCGCCTGCTGTTCCCCTCAGCAGTGTATTTCATCAGTCTGCCTGTTCTGTTCCCCACTCTGTCTCTGGTGAAACCTATCATGCTCCCACACATCTAGCCTGTACCCTGGTTCTTGTGTAAATAAATAAATAAATTTTAAATAATAATAATAATAATAATAATAATAATAAATGCTATATATCTAGCCTGTCACTCTGATCTGAGTAAATACAATTATTGGTTGAAATAATTATAATTATAGTGAGGAACAGAGTAATTTATTTCATTACATCATTCTACTCCAGAGTTCACTTGTTTAGCAGACTTTGTATTTGTCAGCAATGGAATCAGGGAAGAAGGCTGAAAGCATTTCTAAATTGTCACAATAGTCAATGACCTCTATGCCAAAAAATGACCAACCATCCTCACTGTTCAAAGTTGCACTTAGAAAAATGTATTAATTCTGAAAGAGAAAAATAATGAAAAAATGTAAGCAGTGAAGTTCCTTTACCGTAATGCCACCTCATTAAGCAGTCAACCATGTGTGGTTTTGATAAAAATCATCAGTTCTTCTACTATTTGTGCTGTATTTTGTTTTTAAATCAAGGACAGCTAACAAATTATAAAACCCATGAGTCAGCTTTTCCATCTTATTAAGAACTATTTTAAGAACATAATGCAGCATTTAAAAAAAGTCAATGTGTTCTAAACAATGCTGACCACTTATATTTAGCAAACAAACTGATGTCTCAAAGTAGAAGAGACTACAGTATATGAAACTGTTGTCAAGTTCATAAATATCAAAAAACATAAACTCTTTTAAAATCATTTTAAAAAAAGGAATAAGCCTAAAGTTCAGGAAATTCATTTCTAAAAATCATACATCCCTTTTGTACCTTCTGCAATTGCTTACAAAGCATATAGGAAACTGACACTTCCAAGAGTAACCTAGTCTTCCTGTTTTTGGTTTTATTTATGAGGCAATCTAGAAAATATGAGGAATCTTTTACCTTCTTAGATAAAAAAGTTCCCTAGGAGACCCTTAAATAACTCAAAAATGATCAAATCAATTTCACTCAAACATTTAAAAGAAAGAAAATGCCCTTTTCACAGACAATAGGAAATGAATGATTTTGCTCAAAAGCACATTTCCCTTCAATGTTATAAACAGTGCAGAGTAGAAGCAGTCATTTATATTTGTTAACAATTCTGTGGTGCTTTCTTTTGAATAAACACTATTTTCCTATTGATTTGGGAGCAAATTTATAGATATACTAATATAATAGACCTTAGTTGCTTAGAAAAAGGACTAGTTCAAATAAGTGAATGTGCATCCCAGATATTTCAGTTTAGAATTTTAACCAACAGCAGGGGACTTACATCCAAGAAAAGTTATTGGAAATTTACTTGTAGATTAAAAAAATGAGCACATAGCTGCACACTAGTGTAAATACTGTAGTTAGTGTCACTGCATTAATACAAAAATACACTGTTAACACAATTTAAAAATTGTGAAATGGGAAAGAATGGGCTATACCTGTAGATTTACCACATTGCATGATGAGGAAATTACAGTTCTCAGAGATAGTATCACCTGTACATGGCCAGTTAGAAATAGTCAGTGGTAAACTTGGGCTGAGAGTACAAAATTCCTAATCATTACATCATCACTCTTTCCACTAAGTTAGTGAGGGTCATGCTAATTTGGATTAAAGAGGTAGAAAGATGAAAGGCGCAGATACAATTGAAGTGCACTTGTCGTTCATTAAATAGACTTAGGTCAATGCATCTCGTCAATGGGAGGTGTCTGGTTAACAAAAAAAATAATTCTGGTACATAGAATACCTACAGTTCTGGAGATTTTCAAGTCACAGCTCCCAAAGTTATTTTGAGAGAGTCATCCTCTTTCCAATTGACTGCAAGAGGGAAGTAGCATGGTGGAGAATACACAGGAGGAAGGTTTTGTGGGATAGAGCCGGAAATGATGATCATTACTTTGATAGCATTCCATTAACTAACACCTAATCCCTTAATAACAAGAGAGACTCAAAAATGTAGCACGGCTATTTACCCAGGAGAAAGAGAAAATAAATTTTGGTGACTATCTAGTAGTCTTTACTTCATAGTATTTGACACTTATCTGCATAGGTAACTTAGAAAAGACACCCTGTATCTCAGCTATTAGTTCTCAAATCAAAAAGATAACTGGGTAAATAAATGTGCATTAACATCTAGTAAACTCTAGCACATCACTACTACATCGAGAGTGCTGTCGTGACACCAGACATCCCAGCCCTGAAATCTATGCCAAATTGATACTTGGGTAGCTGCTGCATGTTATTGTATATAGGATTACCTCTTCCAATTCTCAAACCATTGGTGATATCATGTACAGTGGTTTCCCTTCTATGCACAGTTTGGATGCAGGAACTCTCCAATTCTCTGCTAATCTACATTCAGGTTAACACCTAGGTACAAGGTGAAATAAAGTCAGAAGGCCACTTTAAAAATAAATTGTTTCATTTAGAGAAGACATCATGCATACATTTTAGAAATGTCAATATATACAGTGAAATTCATTTGACCTAGGATCACAGGTCATTTAATTTGAAATTCATAGAAGCTACCTTGTGAATAGATCATTTTACTGTAGAAAGGCTCAATTTGTGTAGATAAAAAGGATAAACTCTAATATTTATATAACAGGAAAACAACATACTTTCTAAAACATCCATATTTCCTTTCTATCTCAGCCCATTAAAAAAATTGAGTTCTCTTGTTTTTACACTCTTGTTTTATTCTACTTACCCTAATACCACACTGTTTAATTTACTGTGGTTTAACATAGTCTTATACATAGTTATATAATCTTGCTATCCAATAGCACAAGTCCTCCTCCTTTTCCTTGCTACCCACCCCTAAATTGGAACCAGGGTGGGTGGGGACTGGTATTCTTAGAGGTGCCATGCCTCTGGTAAAGCCTTTGTCCTACTAGTGGGAGGCAGGTAGAAGAAAGGAGCATCCCACTTTTCAACTGTATTCAATGACAGCTCAGCTTAAACAGCAGGTAGCTTGGATAGGATGAGAAATACTGATATCCTGCATCTCCTGGGAACATTACTCTCTTGGTGAAAGGTGGCAGAAAGCAATTTCTATGATTTTTCACCATCCCTATCTGGAGTGATAACTGAGCTGTGAGAGAGATGACATGGTTGAAACACTCATACTCTCCCAGTTCTTACCAAATTTTAGTAGATTCCTCTTGAATCTAAGTTGTTAATGGTTTTCTGTTTTTTTGTTTTTACTTGGTTTGTGCTCTTAAATTCATTTCTAGAGATTTTATGTTATCTTTTCTTTTTTATATCAGTTTCACTGGAAATTAAATTGTGTGGTCTATGGAGCTCCCCAACCTGTCATACTGGAAGTAGAACTCTTTCCACCCCCTATTTTTTTAATGCATAAGAACTTTGGACTCTGCTTAATTCTGGCAAACAGTACATTACAGAATCCATTTCTCCAAATACTACATGTAAAGGAATTACAGAGTCAACACTCCCAATAGAATGGAAAATTGTTTTGCCATTTTCCCTAAATATACTTTGCATTTTCCCTCTTGACTCAAGTTTAGGACACAGCTGATAAAGCAATGGTGATTGAGGGAGCGAGTGAGAGCCTTAACTCTATGTTTCCCCAGATTCATAATTTTTTTAAATAACAAAATAAAATTTCCCTAGAATATTTATATTTTATACACCAGGCACATCAAGACATATTGTCAGTTCCCATTTTTAATTACTTTTCTAATTGTTTTTCATTTTAAATTATACTATAAGCCTCCTTCATACCACCTGTTTATTCACAGTCAGATGGGAAATAATGGGGAGAGGAAGTGAGAAGACAGAAATTATGGCTTAAGTAAATTATTTTTAATTTTAGGTATTCGAGAATATGCAATATGCAAGACTACTGTCTCCACCACTCAAGGGAAGAAAGTAATGCATCAAGAGACAGAATGAATCTGTGTATATAGATTTGTTTGTGTTTTACATGTAATGCTCTCAACACATAGACATTAAAAACTCCAAACATAGGGCCTCTCAGTTGGCGCAGGCAGTTGAGCACCACACTGTGAAGCTGTCCACAGCCTCTGCAGTGTGGGCTTGATCCCAGCCCGCCGGCGAGAATCCCACATGGCGCAGCAGACCTCTCCTGTCTCTCCCGCTGCTCCCCTCAGCAGTGTATTTCGTCAGTGTGCCTTTTCTGTTCCCTGCTCTGTCTCTGGTGAATCCTCTCACCTTCCCACACATCTGACCTATACCCTGGTTCTTGTATAAATAGATGAATCTTTAAAAAATAAATAAAAATAAAAAATAAAATAAAAAGTCCAAACACAAATGTCTCTTTTATTCTCAAATGCCATAGGTTTGGGTCTAAATTATTTTGTAAACCACTAAGATTTGGGTACATTTTTCTAAAGAAGAAATTTACAAAGTGTGATTTTCTGTACACTTGTCACAGAATACCCAAAAGTGCTTACTTAAAATGCAATTCCAGTTACTACTTAAGTCTTCTTAAGACATTATCTCTATGAACTGAGAACATGATGATGAACTTTTAACAGATACTACAGATGATTTCAATTCATGCTGAAGTTGGTGAGTAGGTCATTCTGTACTTGGTTAAGTTGGTGAGTAGGTCATTCTGTACTTGGTTTTATGTGAGGGGTTCATTGACATGTTTTGCTATGTAACTGAAAGAATATTGGAATGGACATCAGGAGGGTACTGCACTTCCACTCAGAAAGTAATGATGGCTAAGTGACTTGTTCTCTCTGAGCATCAGTATATTCATTTATAAAAGAGGAAGATGTGCATATCAAACAAGACAGATCACTTCAGCAAAACTACTATGTAACATGGGACATGTTTTACAAACATAGAGAAATGTAGATAAAAGTTTTATTTTGTCTTCACAATGATGGAAATACAGCTTACAATTGGTACACAGAGTAAAACTATTTTAGAAAATTAAAATTACATAATAAATCATTGCATTTCTAATATTTATTTATTAAAGAAAATGCTTTCAATTTATTTCAATAGGTGACAAAGGAGCTAAAAAATGTTATACTTGCATCAAAATATGCCCAAAGCTTACATTCTGATGGGTACCTTAAATAAATTCAGTGATAAAATAAGTTATGGGTGACTTGCAGTGATTGATAATAAGGGTATTAATTATATTCTTAAATTGCAGCACCTGCACTTAGTCCCCAAAGAATAGAATGATTGTCATAGCTAGCAATACTTATCAAAGTGACACCAAAGTCACAATATATGGATTTACTCTTCACCTACTGAAATTTACAGACATTGATTAAGCCATGTGATAAGACATGCAGGACATCCTGGAACTACTGTATATCAAAGGACAACTTTGATGATGGTTTCCCCTTGAAACAACTGTAAGTTATGAAATTCCAGAGAGCATATGTCTGCATATGGTGTCAATGACATACTGTTAACGTGTGAATCACTTATCTGGTGAAGTCCTCCACCTCCCTACTAACATCCTGTTATTAGAGGTCACTGATAATTTTTATTCAAGGAGAAAGAAACATTTACATTAGCTAGATTTTTCCTACACAATGCCTAAAGGCTATATTAAGGACAGCTTATGTAGAAATTTATTGGGGAAAACACCACCATGACTATAATTGAGTGGGGGGGAGTAAGGTATGTATAAACTTAGTAATATAGCTAGGTCAAATGTCATGTTTCAGGCAAATGGAAATGGTTTCTTCCATGTATGTTTCCTGTTGTGTGTAAGTTAATCACATTGATGGATGGAAGATATTTAAATCATAAAATTCTAGCTTAGAAAGAGACTGTTGAAATAATTCTCCAAAAGGAAGCAAGCTAAGATATCTTTAGGCTAATCAGTTGAAATAGATAAGTAGAGACTGATGATTTTGACATAGATACTTGAAAGACAAAAAAAATTAATATTCTGTGAACTTTGATTCAGACAATCTTCGCATTTTGGAATAAGGAAACTGATACCCATAAAAATCATGTAGCTTTTTAGTAGCAAGGCCCAGATTCCAACCCAATTCTACTAATGTATTCAATTTTGTTCTGATCTATAATCAAAGCTAAGGATATTTTAACATGCCTGAAATAATTTATACATTTCCTAAGCCTAAATTTGCAGGACAGGAGATTTATACATTTTATTTTAAGGCACCCAATATATGACTTTCATTCATTTAGATATAGTGACAGAATAATTACTAAACATTCTAAATTTCTTTGAATGTTTAACTTATACTACAGTTTATTCAATACTTTATTATTTGTTTTCCTAACTATGCTTATCACGATATGCCGTATTTTATGTCTATGAGTATACACCCTTTCAATAATTATGTATCTATAGATATATGTGCAGATAGCTTAGTTGTGTTCTTACATATCTGCATACTTCCATAGCACATATATTAAAAATGTTTTCTTATCCCTCTAGGATCAATAGATAATTTTAATATATATGGCCTACTTCTCTAAAAATTTAGATAGTGAATTATTTTTTCAGTAACATGATGCTTAATGGATTATTAGCCAACTAAATTGTGGAATTTAATTTAAATGAATTTTTGAACAGCAACTAGGATACCAGATGGCTGGAAAATTTAATAGGCAATATGGGGAAGTGTAGTAGGTGAGGAGAGCTGCCTCAAAAGATATTAAACAACTTTTAAAGGTTTTTGACATACTGGTAATACTGCTCAAACACTGCAAAATGCTTTTATATGTTAAATACCACTAACAAATGGGTGAAACTCATAAGCATATGTTCTCACCTTTAAACAAGGGACACAACACACTTTAATACAAGGTTCTAAATAAATTATAAATTTATAACCAGATGCTGTGTGGGTAGATAAAAATATGATTTCAAAAAGCTAATAGCCAGGGGCCTCCCCTGGTGGTGCAGCGGTTGAGCGCTGGGCTGCGAGGCTGCCCGCAGCCTCTGCAGCACCAGTTCGTTCCCTGGCCACTGGAGAGGGTCCCACAAAAAAAAAAAAAAAAAAGCTAATAGTTCATTAAGGACACAGTCACCTTCTGCTTTTCTAATAGTTATATCATAAAACCCCAAAGAAAATAAATATTGTGAAGAAAGCAACCACAAGTTAATTAGAAGAAAGTTTACAGAGGAAAGTAAAGTGAACAATTAGAGAACTTAACCTCAGAGACTGCAGTCTATGTATTAGATGCCAAAAGGTAATGATGCATTCTTATTAACCATGACCAAAACCACTATTTTGTTTTAGAAAATAAAAAAAGGTAAGTATCTTCCATTCAGAAAAACTTAGTAGAAGTTAATAACCCTTAAAAATAAAACAAGATTTGTATTTTAGAGTACACATATTTTTTAAAGGTTTATATTTCTAGGGATGTTGAATGTG